AAGCCGGTCAGGGACCCAGTGCAGAACAGGGAGAAGGGTGGTAAATGGAAGAGAGATTTTTCCCTAAGGGCGGTGTTTTTGATTCGCATTGTAGGCCATATGCAAGTACTTATCTTTTGCCGATCAAGAGCTGTTTCTCACTGGTTCTGGGTGGCCGTGTAGACTCTCTGCCACTGGGTCTCTCCTGGTGTAGAAAATGTGCTTCCTAAGCACCGCTACTTGCCTATCTCACCGCTCACCCATGAGCTGATCAGGCCTTAAGGGCTCAGGCTCTCACCGAGTCAGGTCTGGCAACTCCTCGCTGCTTCCAAACCGTCTCTCCCTCCCCCTGCCACTCATTCTGGTTCATTATCTCTGTCTTTGGTGTTCAGGGATCCCAGATTGCACATAAAATTGATTCAGTTGTTTTTTCAGGTCTTTGTTGTAAGAGGGTCCACCAGAAGGATCTGACTACTCTGCCATCTTGGCCCCACCTCCTAATTATTTCTTATTATAGAAATCATATGTGATCCTTATTTAAAAATTAGAAAATACAGATAAGAAAAACAAACTCATTTATAATCCCATCACTTAGAAAAAAAATTTGTAAACATAAATTATTTTTATTTTAAATATCTAACTTTTTAAATGAAAATGAAATTTCATTCTATATGCTCTTTTGAAACTTGCTTTTCTTTTTAAAAAGTACCTTTCCTTAATAATTTACTTCTGTACTATAGCATTATTTTGTTGGCAAAAGTATTCCATGAGAACGCTTTTTACATAGAAGAAAGTGATATTTAAAATGAATTTTCTGTGACTTTCTCACCAGGCTTCTAATCTGAGGACATCCTAATTACTCTCTTTTTTTTTAATTTACCTCTTAATTTGAAAATGTTTTCAGTAATCCACATGACTTTAATGAGACTAGTGTCTTTCAAACTCACTAATACTGTTTAAAATATTCTTGTGCACCTAAATTATATCAATTAACATATATTTAAAGATATTAATTTTGCCTAAGTGCCCAAATTTAAAGTCTGTTTCATCCCAGTGATTACATAGGTATTAATGCCTCCCGACAAACGTCCCATCTGTCTGCAAAATGAACCTCTTCCCCTCTGTGTGAAGGTGATGCTCAGCAGCGCGTGGATCAGTCCAAGCAGATCACGGCAGAAGCTAACAAGACG